CATACTTGGGAAGTGTGTCTTAATTTAAAACCCTGTCAGGGTGCAGAAATTCTGTAAGAGAAGAATCTCCTCAAACCCTGCAAGTGGTTGGTACTGGCTCTGTCAGGGGCTGAGTCTTAAAAAAAACAAAGTACAGAAAATGTACAAAAGATAATACACTCACACAGAATGCAACTTCTGGGAATGGGAAAACAGGAATGTGTTCACATAAATGTATCACTTTAGCCCCTTGCATTTGTCTATCTAATTTTCTTAAAAATAGCATTTTGGATGCAAGTAATTTTCTCCGCATGGTCTTGTCCCCTTGTGCCCACACTGTAAGAGTACTCGTGTGCTTCAAGTACATATTCCTTCCTTTCAAAGCCTTAACACACCATCAGCTTTCTTACAGGTTGGAAGACTGTGACTAATTTTCTTCCAGAGCCCAATAACATTTCTCCTGAGCTGAACTGCAGAGTAAACCAAGACACCCAGAGCACTGACCGCATGCTGTCCACTCCTAGGACGTGCTCTGCCCACTGTCTAGGGGAAAGCTTCACGGCACCTGCCCAAAGTTCAGCCCACAGACAACAAAGACCCACACTGTAGCTCAGTCTGCTCTCCTCAGCTAAAAAGGTATGAAAGGTAAACAAGAGCAACAATATGCAGATAATTTACATCCTCTCTTTAATCACAGAGCACACAGAGGTGTGCTTCCCCTGCGCAAGGTGCTTTGGATATTACAGCTCAAATGAATGCAACGGCCCACAGGACAAACTTGCCTTTGCTGCAATTTCAGAACCCAGCGGGGAGTTTCACACCATTCTATACTTACCTGTGAGAAGACACACATGCAGAAGGACAGAGAAGAGGCAGCTAGACTCAAGGTCTGCAATTCTCTCAAGTATATTAAAAAAATTTAGAGAAGCCTAACATTCCGTAAAGATACAGAGTGGTACCCAAAACCCAAAACTGGTTAGGAAAACATCACTTACTTAGATTTGCTCTTGGCCACTGGTGGTTTTTTTGCAGCATGAAGAAGAGAAAAACAAAAGAAACAGTTATCATTTTATGTTGCTTCCTTTATATGTTACATATAGGGTTTTCCACCGCCTGCCTTTGCAAAAGCCGCAGATAGACAGTGGAAAGAGCTTTACTGTCACAATAAACACCACTCATCCGTCCATGTGCTGTCAGTTGCCTGCTCCTTCTGCCATCATACCACCTTTGTAGGTGTCTGTGCAAATGTAGTGCCCAGCATGACAGGCTGCACTTGCTGCAATCTCCAGATGTTTTCAGTAAGTTTTCAGCTTCAGTGATTAGTATGAATTCTCTAGGTTAGGACAGGTATGGTCAACACTGCTGGTGGAAACTGCAGCCCCACTCTTCCCGACTTGCTCACGCCCACTCCTGCTGCAGTTCCTGCCGTGGTGCCAACGCAAAGCTTTGCTTGGCCAGAGGGTGAACCAGGGCAGGAAGCTGTTCTCACGTGAGCCTGACCTTCTCACAAGGCTGGTTTTCGGTCCCTCCGAGTTAACCCACCACACAGCATGAAACAGGCTGAATTATTTCTCTGTCAATTCACCGCATTTAAAATAATCATATATCTACAGCATAAATGCAAAACTGCGCTAAAATTTAAAAAAATTGCTCATCTACACTGTGTCCGTGCACGTCGTGTTTAGGTCACCCTGAGCTTCCCCCGGGGTTCGCCGAGGGAGGGGCAGGGCGGGG